TACAGCCCCCTCTTCTGGACAACCACGGATCATCGGTGACCTCACAGGGAGGTCACACACCAGGAGCTGAAGGTGGAGGCCAGACCTTGGAATACTTTTTATTTTCAGGGAATATTTATGACGAGGTGCTGAAGGCCCAGCGACGTCTGTCCCTGATTTCACTTTAGATTCTTTACAGAAGTGAAAGCTGAGACTCCAGAATACTCCGGCCCAGACGGATCTGTTTGTCTTGTTAATCAGCGCCAGGACAAACATGAGAATTCTGCTCTTCTTCGCTGCAATTCCTTCTTTATACTATAACACACAATAAAACAAAAACTCTCCAGGACTCACTGCCATCGTCGGCCGTCGTTTCCGTCGCCACTTTCTTCAAATGCCTTCAGTGTTTTCTTTCTCACAGCCAGGACTTGGTTTAATTTCTCTCCTCTCGCGTCTCTGTGTGGCTGTGTTATCTTTGTGTTGTTCGGGATTTTCCTTCTTCGTTTTCAGGTGTCAAGTGTCCTTGTGAAATCTGTGACTTCGTTCTGTGTTTACATTTCATGGATCGCTGTCACAGAAAAAAAGTGTTATGATGAGACAAATTCCATCCAGCTCTGATTGGACGATAACAGGTGATGAACAAGTGTGAACTCTGTGAACTACTCTCTGGTGTGCTCCAATTTACAATTCATGTGTAGTTTCTACCTGGACATGATTGGACGGTCAGCTCCCTCAGAAGTGTCACATGATGTTTTAACACAGACTCTTTTCTTCGTCAGCGTCGTCATCTGTTCCACCCGTCTCCAACTATGACGACGGAGACTTTCTGTTGTGGAAAGACAAAAGACATCGTCAGTAGAAAAACACACCGTGGTGACGCTGTCACTGTCATGACATCACTGTCACTGTCATGACATCACTGTCACTGTCATGACATCACACATCTTCATGAAGACGACATGAACCCAGTGAGAGTTCTGTCTGCAGATTAAATACACAAAGTTAAAAAAGTTTCCAGTTCGTTTTTTTAGACTAAGACAAAAATGACTTTACCTAATTTGAAAAATGCTGAATGACTGAGGCTTCAATGAAAAAAAAAGAAAACTAGCACTTGTTATTGGCATTTTTGTCTGATAATTAAACAAGAACACAGTAATTAAATGACTACAAAGAAACGAGGCGTTCTTCAACAGAGACAAACAAATGAAACAGGTTTTTACAACGTTCTGAAGGACAAATGAGAAGCACAGAAATGAACCTCATTAAAATGAACTATGAACAAGTTGTTTGTGCATGAAGCAAAAGAAAAAATTAAATTAAATTAAATTGAATGTTTCTGTTTCATACAAATCTGACGACCCTGTAGAAGACGAGGCCGTGACGTGGTACAAACCAGGCCTTCAGGGACAAACTCTGCTCCTTTATTTTACTGACAGAAAAAACTCTCTCTCTCTATATATACAGTATATGAATACATATATAAATATCTACACATACACAGTTTTCTGACATTTGGTCCACGTCCATCTGCTCCCTGAGCCTCACCCTCCGTCCCTCTCCAGTTTCTCACTCGCTCTAACGACTGTTTTGTTGTTTGCTGACAGAAGCGGCCAATCAGACAGGTGTGTGTTGAACACATCACGTCAGTGTGTTTGTTTGTTATTGCCCCGCCACATATTTGCCCTCCTCTTTTACACCCACGTGTAGCTTCATAACAGCTGCAGACCAACCCCTGTTTTCATTGGTTAATTTTCAATTGCCGTGTGTGTGTGTGTGTGTGTGTTTAATTCTCTGCCTGGAAACATTTTACATTTTCAGTTTTATTTGAAAGTGCAGAGAATGGGATTTGATTCATCCCAGTTCTGTTATGTGTGTGTGAACAGAACCTCCTGCTGTGGCTGCGCTGCTCATTAACGGCTGGCGTGGAGCAGACGTCACTTTGATGGCCGTGTTTTTACACACACCTCCCTGAAGAAATATGAGTGCTCTGGTAATTGCTTCATGTTTATATTGATTACAGCCACCTCCGACGGCAGTCACTCATCCTCCCGCCTTCACACTCTCTCTCTCTCTGTCAAGAGTGGGAGGGGGGAGGAGAGCTGATGGGGGGGGGGCTTTTAGAGGAGTGAATGTCAACCACTTCCACAAGATCTCAGGCAACAGAAAAACATTCAGCCCTGACTAATTGTTGACACAGACCTGGAGTAAATCAAACCTGATAAATCCACACGCTCTCTGCAATATTTATTCTCTCTTTGCATTTGGACATTTTCCATAAAAAGTCAAAGCAGCAGCAGCAGCAGCAGCAGCAGCAGCAGCAGTGATGCAGTGATTTTTTAAACCAATCAAAAATGGAATTAGGAACTGACCCTAACCCTCAATTAACAGACGGATTATTAGAATTCAACAGCCGCTAATTTAACTCTCCCACAGCCTCTGCACTGAGACATTGGCCACAGCAGAGTCTGCGCCCCAGAGTTAGATTACAGCCCAGCGCTCGTTGTGTGTGTGTTTACCTTTTAGCGTGATGCAGCACTTCATCGGCGGAGGATCGTATCACTGTAGAGACAAAGACTCCTGAAACTGAGATCTGTCCCGACCAATCACGGATCAGGCAGCAGCCAGTGCAGAGCGATGAAAGGATTTTCAGTTCCACAGCAGCAGGGTCGACTTCCTGTCTCACTGACAGCTGCGATTTTATAAAAAAAAAAAAAAGAAAATTAATATTTTCTCACTAAAGCGGTGAATTATTACTACCCAGTCGAGTGTCTCTTGTTCCTGTTGTAGGAGTTCATAAAGTTCTGTGTGACTTTTTAGGCCCATAAATATCACTGGTCAAGGTTAAGGAACAGTGAATGTGCTGGGGGGAGAGGAGGAGGAGGGGGAGGAGGGTGAGGGAGAGCGGGTGAAGCAGCAGCACAGACTTTGATGCTGTGAGTGTTTCATTGTTAAACAGCAGCTGAGTGAATGAAAAGATGGAGAGAGAACCTCCACAGAAGGTTCCAGTGATGTGAGGGAGACAGAGGGGGCGCTGGAGGGCAGCTGGAGGCTGGAGGCTGGGAGTGGAGTGGTGGAGAATACA